AGGGTTCTCACAAACCAAAAGGTTTAAGAACCTGAAGGAAAAGAAGACGATATTGTACTGTACTTATAATCAATAAATAAATAAATAATAAATAATTGCGGATGTCTATGGGCAGCGGTCGCGTTCCATTTCGGTGGATTCAGGTGGCCGCTTGCTCGTTTGCCGCCTTATATTATAAAAAAAAATTCTTGAAGAACACAGGCTACTTACAATTTTTTTTAAAATACCGCGCGACGGAGTCGCGTTCGAAAGCTAGTTTTAAATATAAATAATGAACTCAAACTTGCCTTTTTATATAAGTTCAAGTAACGCTAAATATTATGGTTACATGAATTTTTTAACTGAAATATTCGAGACTACTGTTATCTGGTGAAATTTAGTTCAATAATTTAAGACAAAAAAAAACAATATAAAGAAAATAAAATAAAAAGTACTTCGAATGTAAATCTCAACTGCCCCCTGTATCATAAACTGAACCATGTAATAGTTTAGGGGAGGCTGAAAACCAGCGCAGCCTTCAGTGACAAGCTGGAGGCCGCATCAGCTGAGCCTTCTCCTTTTGGCCAAGAGGTTTTTGTCTTTTTTTTTTTAGTAATATGATTTGTGTTGTGTTCTTTTAATTTTTTTTTGGTCAATAAATGTTTTATTTTTTATTTATGTACATCTGTACTTATAAAAACCCCGTATTATTCCAGACAGTTCAAATGGAGAGGGAAGCTATGAAAAAGTTACAAAATGTCCGGAAAGATCATGATAAGAGAGTAACTGAGCTGAGCCGAGTGCAGCTGGACGACCGCAGGAAGGCGGAGCTGATCTCCCGCAACGAGGAGCTGGTGGAGCACGCGCGCATCGCTGTGCAGACCGCACTCGCCAACCAGGTCACATTTATATACGTCTATACTAATATAATAAAGCGTAAACACACACTTCTTTGTTGCCTAAGATGTCAGCAATTACAGCATATTTTTGAATAAGTCTTTTTTTAATAAAAAGCCCTACACTTATGTCACGCTTTAGGCTATATTTTCATGCCATTAAATGGATAAAAACCCTAATGTGGGAAAAAGACCATACGTTGCTGCCTACACCAAGGAAGCAAGATTGCCATATTGGTATTTTGACATTTGCAAATGAGAAATTGACAAATGCAAACAATAAATGTATAATTTTATGCGGATGAAGCCGCACGCGAACAGCTAGTTTTTAAAAAAAACACTTACGACATGACGCAGGCTATATATTTTCCCGCTACTATACTTAGGGTGTAAATAATATGGAAAAAATTGTCATGAGAGAAAGGGACAAAAACTACAAGCCAATAGCAGCAAGGTTACCATGGTAACTGTAATGGTTTATATAATCATTTGTATTTTTAATTTAATAGGCAATATGCATATGACGCCAAAATGTATCAAAGGTTTTTTTAAGTATACTTTATTACTATAAAAACATTCCTGCAAAATTTTTTTAAATATAATGTGATTTAGTGGCAAAATTTAATCATTAAAAAGTGTCTTTTTTCAAATTCCCTCGCTAAGTTCTAAAACGCACACTATTGGTCGAAGCAAGTTGGCATCTAATATGGCGTCGGTGTTGTCAATACACAGTTCATTTACGTTAGTTTATACAGAAATACACTCTTGAAGTATTTTACTGTAAACACGATATCAAAACCAACTTTAAAATAAAAAATTAATGAATAGAATTATTAATTACCATTTATTTGTACCAGGAATAATAAAAATGAATCGATTTTTGACTTTTTGACCTTGAGAAGCAATGAGATACTTTGTTGTTTTTTACATCGGAGTAACATACATGCATATTCCCTATTAATATTTTTACCTATTTATTTTCAGATGTCATGGGATAATATTGACTTATTAATAAAAACGGCACAAGAAAACAAAGATCCCATAGCTTGTATTATAAAACATCTCAAACTGAACACCAATCACATCACCTTGCTGCTCTCGGACCCTTATGATGATGAAAGTGATGATGGTGAAGAGCTTGATTTGAAACCGATGCTCGTCGATATTGACTTATCTTTAACAGCATTTGCTAACGCTAGAAGGTACTCTTATATTAATAAAAGTTTTCTAGTTTTATATGGAACGGATAAACTCAAAAACTATTTTATTAAAATTTTTTACCATTAAAAACTCCTTAAAGCTATGATTATTAACAGATTTTTTAAATTTCTAGTCTATACTAATATTGTAAAGATGTAAGATTTGTGTTTTTGTATGTATTGAAATAACTCAAAAACTACTGGACAGATTTCAAAAATTCTTTCGCCATTAAGCTACATTATTATAAGCTATGTTTATTGTCAGAATTTTTGTAATTCCACACAAGGGTCTATACTAATATTATAAAGATCAATGTTTTGTATTTTCATAAATACTGTAATAACTCAAAAACTACTGGAAATTTTCAAAAATTCACCATTATAAAGCTTTAATATCAGAGAGTGACGTAGACTAAGTGTTTTATTATTTTTTTAATTTCACACGAGCGAAGTCGCGAGCGACAGATAGCATGTTGTAAATAAAATAAAAAAAAAGTGTAAATCGTGAAAATCATGAAATATGAACAATAGGTACTACGATCAGAAACGAAATGCAGCAAAGAAGCAACAGAAGACAATAGAGTCTGCCGACAAGGCGCTGAAGAGTGCGGAGAGGAAGACCAAGCAGACCCTCAAGGAGGTGCAGACCATCAGCAGCATCAGCAAAGCGCGCAAGACTTACTGGTTCGAGAAGTTCTACTGGTTCATCTCCTCGGATAATTATCTGGTAAGTAAGGGGCGACTTAAATTCGCCAAAATAGCGAAACAAATACAACCATAACGCACGCATTAGTATGTGCATTTCCCAATAGATAAAATTTCTTTTAATAGACTATTCCTAATGGAAAACTTGATTGAAATTTATTCTTTTTTCTATTCAAAAAGTGATTTATTCTTTCCTCTGTCTGTTAATAGTGAAAATCGCTGGTCTTTTTAACTTGTATCAGTTTAAACTTTTGTATGTAATAAGTACCCATTCACCCTTCAAATGTTCAAATGGATGGATACTAGACGTTTAGACTGTCCAGAAGACACTGTAGAAGAATAGACACATTAAAAAGCCATTAATAAAGAGGTATACGTTCAGGTGATAGCCGGCCGCGACCAGCAGCAGAACGAGCTGCTGGTGAAGCGCCACCTGCGCGCCGGCGACCTGTACGTGCACGCCGACCTCAGCGGAGCCTCCTCCGTGCTGGTGAAGGCGGCCGGCAGGGCGCCGCCCCCGCCCAGGACTCTCGCTGAGGCGGGGCAGGCCGCTGTCGGCTACAGGTATACCCCCCCCCCTAGGATGTGGATAGATAGATGTCACTTCAACTTCTGAAAAGCCGGCTTGTTTCATGTAATACCACGACCACATAAAAGACAGCCGTGAATTATTCCAAGTACAGTCTGATATGTGCATGCCGGAGGCCTAGTGTCCCTTTCCCTTTCCACCCTTTTCTTAATTGGAAAGGATGGGAAGGTTAAGTGGACTTGATGAAGGAACAGGAAGGGGAATATCCTCTTTAATTAATTTATTAAATCGACGGAGACGCACTCCGTCGATTTAATTTTCGCCATTTTGGCGAATTTGGGTTATGATTTCTCATTATTTCACTATACATATTAATCAAACTATCCTGTTACTATTTGGTTACTATCGTATGTACAAAAATCTATCACAGTTACGTGAAAATAGTAATAAGAGTAAATGCAGTTGGTCCTTGGAGCCGGATGTAGAGTGCGTGTGTCGCGTGCAGCGTGGCGTGGGAGGCGAAGGTGCTGACGCGCGCGTGGTGGGTGCAGGCGCAGCAGGTGTCGAAGTCGGCGCCCACGGGCGAGTACCTCTCCACCGGCTCCTTCATGATCCGCGGCAAGAAGAACTACCTGCTGCCGGACCAGCTGCAGTTCGGCTTCAGCTTCATGTTCAGGGTCGGTAAATAAAATAACTGAATGCATATGATGTGTTTCCTAGTTTTAACAACGTTCCCAAACTTTTGTCGTCCTAGTTTTAGATTTTTACTCTTTCTGTTAACGCTCTATTTTTTTGTGCTGTCAGGGGGGGGGGGTTGTAATAGAAATTAATGTTGTTTCGTACATTTTTAAACTTTTAGTGGTTTACAAACGATGTTGCTTTAGAGTGACCCTTTTTTATACGAAACAGTTATTTTTTCGTTTTTTTCATTTACATCTCACGAACCCCCAATTTCCTATAAACCCCAGGGGGTCCTTGACCAATTTTAGAATCACTAGTTTAGTTTATAACAATAACTTTTTATAATAATTTTCCTAATAGCTTGAAGATAGCTGTATAGAGCGACACAGAGACGAGCGTAAAGTTATATTGGCTGATGAGGCGTCTGACGTCACCTCTGACGTCACACAGGACCAAGACGAGGAGATCATCGTCTCTGATGATGGTAACTTTTATACAAATAATATGTTTTTAATAGCATATTCATACTTTAAACATAGAGAGATTCAAAAAATATGGAGAGAGGAATTTTTCACATGATCCTTACTAACGCCATCTATTGATTGCTTAAAAACCACAAATATAATTAACTAGCTTTCGTCCGCGATTCCATCCGCGTGGAATTAAAAAAACGAAAATGGGTAGTCTAATGTGTTCCTCCAGGGTATCTATAACATTATACAAACATCTATACAAAGTAAAAACAATAAGTACCCTTTCGGTCGTGTAATATAATGAGTACAAATGCAGCGAAACAAACTTTGGGAACAACAACATAATACACCTAAAACCATACCATATTTGCAACTAAACACTTTATAACACAAAAACAACAAAACGAAACAAAAAAAATATATCCTCTACATGTATGACAAATTTTAACAATATCCGTTATTTAGTTTAGCCTACAGACTCTAACAAACATCCATCCATCTAAACTTTATATTTATAATATTAGTAAGATATTGAAATTAATTGCCAATATGTGTAAATAATAATATTATTTTTTTTTAAATATTGCAACACTGTTTAGTTTAATTTATAATAAAAGATGGCGCTTATTAATAATTTTATGACTTGACAACTAACATAGTACCTTTCAGAGAAGTTACCAGTGAAATTTTTTTTTCTCTGTCTTGTCTTAAATGTCTGTTTACATTATATCTTCAGATGAACCTTCCGATGAAGATAAGAAGGTAGACAGACTGGAATCCATAACAGAAGAGACGACGCAGATCAAGATAGAAGATGCTCCAGAGAAAGAGACAGCGAGCAGAGAAGAGACGGCAGATGTAGAGAGCAGTGATGACTCTGATAGCGGAGTATTGCATACACATATTAAGGTTTGTTTTTATTAATAAAATAAATTTAAAACGCTAAGATTTCCTTACATAACTTGTTAATTTTTATTTAAAAAATTGGACCACATTTTGAATACCTTTGGAATAAAGAAAAATTGAATAGGACCCTCCCTTGATTATCGGCTGAAGACGCCACTTTTTTTATTGAAGAGGGGTATTGCGTTTGTATGTTTATTGTACACAAGCTTTTGCCCGCGACTCCGTCCGCGTAGAATTAATAAAAACAAGAGTATCCTATGTGTTCTTCCAGACTATCCTCTACGTCTATGCCAAATTTCATCGAAATCCATTCAGCTGTGGCTACAAACTCTAACAAACATCCATCCATCTAAACTTTCGCATTTATAATATTAGTAAGAAGTAAGATTGTTACTTTGTATAAATGTTTGTAAATGTGTGACAAGAATGGATAAAGTTAAGAATATGGATATCAGAGGAAGTTTAAAAGTAGCGTCACTGGTGGAGAAGTTGAGAAGCAAAAGGTTAGCGTGGTATGGACATGTTATGCGACGAAATGAGGGACATAAACATGAAAGTGTTAACCCTTAAATGCATGATTTTTTATTTAATTATGAAATAAATATTTCAGTATAGGTTTTGAGTCACAGATTAAGGGAAAAATAATTTAAAAAAAATCTTGTTTTCAATAAAAACTATACTTTAGTTTGTAGACTTTTGGAAACAAGCATTTAAGGGTTAAGAATGTGGATGGCTACAAAGGAAGAGGAAGTCCGAAGAAAGTATGGATGGATTGTGTGAAAGAGGTTATGTTTAAGAAAGGAGTGGTTTCAGAAATGACGGCTGATAGAGATGTATGGAGCAGCAACTGTGCCGACCCTCTATAAGGGATAAGGGCAAGTTGATGATGACTTTGTATTAATTACAATAAATAAATATTGTATATTTCAGGTGGACCACGGCACTGGAGAAGTTCATACAGAATCTAAAACAAGAACAATATCAGAAATGTCTGATCCAAGTGAGTTATATATTTTTAATTTTTTTTTTAATAACTTTATAATTCTTAAAAAAAATCTACATTGAAATTATTATAAATAGTAAAATTCAAAAACCCTTTATATTTTTTAAATAAACAATTTTAATATTCAAGGCGAAGATAAATTTTCTTTCCCCGCACTACCAAATAAATCAAAAAAGCCTCAGAAGAAGGAAAAGAAAGTACCAGAACCAAAGAAGGAAGAAAAGAAGGAAACATTGAAGAGGGGACAAAGAGGGAAACTAAAGAAGATGCAGAAGAAGTACAAGAACCAGGATGATGAGGACAGAGCTCTGATGATGGATATGCTACAAGTAATTTCTTTGTTTTTACACTCACAGTTGTTTAGCAGTCCCTTAGTGAATGTCTTTTAATATCCATACAGCTAATAAAATTGGACTAAAATTTGATTTATAAGTGGTTAACTCTAACCTTTTTAATTTCGTATAATCTATGATCATTTTCTCCACTGAATAAATCATTATTAACTTTAGAAGTGTGGATGGATATTTGCTAGTATTTATATATCTCCAAAAACAACAAAATTTGATAAAATTGGTCATACAAAGAACATCTGGTAGAACACATGTTTACTAAATTTTATTTAACTCCGTACGTAAAAATTCCAAGGCAAAATATAATGAATAAATTAAAATATATGTCGGTTTGAGTTAGCACGATATCAGAATTACTACTACTCGAGATCACATATGGGTAAAGTCGGATTCCAGAAATACATTCACAATGCTCCTCAGTCAGGATGTCATCGATCTACCAAGCTCATAACGTTCAAACAATGTTCTCGCAACGATCCCTATTTTCAGAATAATCTAAGTTCTCACGAAAGTCGCTTGGCGGCGCTCGTCTTCTAATTATGACTTAAATTCAAATTGATTTCTTTTTCTGATTGCGATATGTATGTTTTCAGTCGTCAAAAGAGTCGAAAGAATCAAAGAAGGCGCAGAAATCAGCCGCGAAGCCTTCAAAGAGCAAGTCCGCAGCTCGCATCCCGCAGCCCGCGCCGCTGCTGCTGGAGGCCGACTCCGAAGACGACCCTGACCCTGACGTGAGATATAGACCATACTTTTATATACTAAAGCAGCTATTCCGCGCGGCTAAGTCCGCGTCAAATTAAAAAATAGTAAAATACATAGATTTAACCTATATTACACTAGATAATGCCATTCTAATGGTGAAAGAAATTTAAATAACGACCCAGTAGTTTTTAACGTAAATCAAATATATATAAAAACGCATTTTTCTCCTCTTTATAATTATATAGTATCTCTAAAATGGATTGCAATTCCGCGCTCACGAATTCGCGGGCCACAACTAGTGTTTAATAATTCTTTCTGATAATAAAGTTTAACGTAGAATATATTTGTGTTACCTAGCAGGTGGGGGGTGCGGGGGGTGCTGGTGGTGTGGAGGCGGAGGCGGCGGAGGCGGAGGTGGCGCTGCTGGCGCAGCTGACGGGCTGCCCGCACGCGGAGGACGAGCTGCTGTTCGCGGTGCCGGTCGTCGCGCCATACTCCGCGCTTGTTAACTACAAGTCAGTCACAAAAAACCTCTATAAATTAACAGACAGGAATGTGGTATTTTCATCATCTGCCCTTCTCCCTACGGAGGGTCAGCTCATTATTTGCTCTTCCATACATCTTTATTATTCATCATATCTGAATACACTCTTAAGTATGTCCTATTTCACATAATACATACTGTCTTCGGTCTGCCTTTATCTTTATAGCTAACCACTTTCAATTTAAATATTTTATGTCATTATAAATGTGGTATTTCATGCTTATTTTTCGCCGTCTTGGCGTTGACGATTCCTGTTTATGTTGGTGACATCAACACACGCGTTTTAGTCAAAAAGATACAAAAGCTGTCATTTCGTAGCAAAGACTAAAATAAGTGTTAACACAACAATTTGGTCCTAATTGTTACAAAATAAAAACTACCCTGCAGTTTTACTTCAAAAAAGGGTATTAAAATCGGGTTTCTAAAGATAATTTCAATTTCTCAGATACAAAGTGAAGCTAACTCCGGGCACGAGCAAGCGCGGCAAAGCTGCCAAGACCGCGGTGCAAGTGTTCCTGAGGGACAAGACCTCCTCCGCGCGGGAGAAGGACCTCCTCAAGGCCGTCAAGGAGGAGAACATCGCCAGGAACTTCCCCGGAAAAGTCAAACTGTCCGCCCCACAGCTTCACAAACACAAGAAATAGACCTTATTCGTGTTCAATAAAGTTTCATTTAAAACAATCGCAGTTTTATTTCTCAAATGTTTGTACGTGAATCGAACCTAAACAAAGAGATTCAACAATTTATAGAGCCGACAATTAAAAAAATATATAGATTAAGCATAATGAAAAAATGTTTTTCACTGGTACTGCCTCTGAAATAGTACCTTATCAGTTGTCTATGCCACCTCGCCATTTTTAATTATAATGTCGATTAGACATTAAATATGATTTTTTAAAATGGATTACAAAATTTACTCTGGTTTTAGTAAAACGAAAAATTGTTATGGTACTTTTATATTACAATTAAAAATAACTATCTTTAAACGTAATCAACATGTAAATTGTCGTAGAATGTAAAATAACATGAAAGAGTCTAGTCTTCTTCTTCTTCCTCTTCCTCGGGGAAGCCCTCCCCTTCCCCTGGTAACTCTTGCGGGGGCGGGGGCGGCAGGTGCGCGATGCGGTACGCCTAAACAGAACAATAAATTATTTTTTTGATAATTCGATTACATGTAAATTAAAATTAAAATGTAAATAAAAATTTCAATAAATCATATAGTTATACGAGAAGTCGCAGTCGTATTTATCAGTATTACGAAAATAATCGTACCTCCTCATCAGCGAATGTGGGATCAGCCATCTCCATGACCTCCGGCCCTATGATGTACTCCGTCTGCGGCCGCGGCAGCTGCAGCGGGGAGAAGTTGGGCATCTGCGTCTTCAGCCCCCACCCCACGTACAAGCACTCCGACCTCCTGCACACCAACACCATATAACATTTAAGTTACTGAATTTTCACTTGACCTTTTGTTTTTAAACATCATAAAGTATGTAATTGTGTGCCACAAAAACATTTTAAATTTTATAGTCTATAATCAAAGACTAAGCGATTTTTGTTTTTCCTCAAATTAATAATCTGGCAACAAATAACGAAAGCATACTTCTTGCGGGGGATTCCCCGAAGTTCATCTGTATGTGGCAACGAATCTGTAGCTACCACAAAAGTGAAGAAGTTAAATCTAGGTCAGTTTACTCACTTGCCATCATTAGCGTATGCGACGGCGCCGGGCCACAGCTTGCTGCGCACCAGCGCCAGCGCGCGCGAGCTCACTAGCGTCGTGCTGACGTGCGCACTCCACGCCGGCGCGCCGCACACTGCCGCGTCACCAGACACCGTGCTGAACAGCGCTGGACCCGTCTCCGGCTCCACCAGCGGCAAGTTCTCGTCTTCTTCCTCTTCACCCTCATCCTAAGCATCAGCAGTAACTCTTGGATCTTCCCACACTATACTATACTACTATCTTCAAAATTGATCTGTCAGTCATCATTCATTCAATTTTAGCGAATTCATCTACCGAGGAATATCCCTATATCTAAGTCTATCAATGTCACCATCATCTCAGCGCGAGGGTTCCACCAGATAGTCCTGCCCTGCGGCAGGATGTGACGGCCGTGGTGCACCCAGTAGCCCAGCGAGGGGTCCACCAGATCCTTGATCGTGTGCCCCTGGTAGAACGGGTTCAGGTTGTAGTTCATATCTGAAATAAAACACTCATTTTTCATAATACTTCGTATCATCGTGTGTTTTACGAAGGACTATGAAAAATTAGTGATGTATTTGACCTCCCGCTTCCTCCATGTCGACGTCCTCCTCCTCCTCCCCGGAGCCGAAGGTATAAAAGCCCTGCGGCGAGATGGACGTAGCGGCCGCGATGCGGGCGATCTGCGCGCGCAGGAAGTGACGCTCTGTGCCCTCGAATGGCGGGAAACTCAATATCTGCATGTGTGTTAACATAAATACAAAAATTTCAACTATCATTCTAAGTGATCATGCTTCGCTACCCCTTCTTAAATAAGAACCTCTGCATCGAGATCCCCAGTCATGACGCGCACGTTGAGGCGCGCGACGCGCACGTGCTGCGGCGTGATGTCGGGGAGACACACCCAGGGCGCGCCCAGCGACGTGCACACCCAGTACACCTGCAAGACATCAGATCGACTCGGTTGCGATTCGGATCATATGAACCAGTCGCGATGTAACAAGCGTGGCTGTTTGCGATCATCAATGAATACTTATTGGTTGTTAGTGTTTAGTGGCCATATGTGTCAATTAGCTGTGAATTTTCTTTATGAGAAAGAAGAAGTGATAGGAAATATGAAAGACATACAATACACATATTCATAATTTATTTTAAAAGCACCTTCTTGTTAACGCCTTGGCCAGGTCTTTCCACAGGTATGGGTGGCTCCGGTGTCCACGTGGACACAGGCAGTGGCGGCAGCTTGGGGGGCATCAGCTCCTTCGTTTTCGGCTCCCGTTCCTCCCCTTCACCAACTAATGGAAAACTAGTAATGCTACGATAAATGAGAACTTACCATATAGATTCCCATTTTTTGTGTTGCTCATTCCCCCCCTTTTTACTCTTTATCTTGATTAACACTGAGAATTAAAACAAATAACTAGTTGATACGGCTTTCTTGATACATACGTATCTCTTTTCGTTGCTCAGCTTCGTTGTCCGGTTCTTCAGGCTGTCCCTCCCCTTCACCTTCCCCAGGCATGTCCTTCATGTCGAACTCCTAGACAAATATGTTTTTTTTAAAGGACCAATAGATAAACGCATTGGACTAGTCATTTTATAATACAAACTCTGATCCTGCGGTCCAGCTCCTCTATTGTAAGGTCTGTCTCAGCCACGTAGTAATCTGCATTAGTGCCGAAAATCTTACCGAAAAATCTAAATCAGAAATACTACAATATACCACCATACTTAATACTATAAAGAACTCATAAACGAGATTTTTTAAATCTCTCTCAACCGTAATTAAAATTGAAATGTTAATTCCGTAATTTTTTGATATCGTTACGGTAAAATTTAACGACATTAGGTATTTTTAATGTGAATGTACCGAACCTGACAGTAGCGACGGGTTCTTTTATCGTCAACATGTTCAAAGCGATGTAGAGAGCATAGCATTCGCTTTCTGGCAACCCATAGCCACACTGAAAAATTAAACTCAGATACATAAATACCGAAAAATGTAATTAAATAAAAAATTTAAATATAAACTTGCCTGTCTGAAGTAATAATTATGATCGATTACGTCGGAAATTCTCGGCTTAGTAGATTCCTCCTCTAAGTCCAACTCTTGCTCCTCTTCTCCTGCCTCCTCCATTTTCTGCGACTTACTGGCGACTAACTATACAATAAAAAGATGTAGTAATCGTATTATATCAATAATCACATAGTTTCTATAAATAAATATAATACAATGGAATCGAACCTTAAACATATCATCCATCTTTCTCATAAGTTCTAGCTGTGGGGGCGTCAGGTATACATCATTAAGAAGATCAAAATTAGGCCGCATTTTCTCTTCTTTAACCTCCCACGAGAATTGCTCGAAGTTATCGACCACATCAGGTGGCTTATGGGTCAGAATTTTTTGTACCATATCTACCAAGTGATCGTACCTGGCAAAATAAAACATTGCCTAAAGACCTATACTTTTGTCGGAAATAATAGAAGTTTTTGGAACAGTAAGCCCTGATTTAAATATTTAACTTACAAACTATCTCCAGTTGCAGCACTTTGTTGTTTTAAAAAGTTTTTTGCTTTTATTAGGTCACTGTTCAAATCTGGCATTACATTTTCAGTAGCCGCTATGATCTCTGGCTCCAGTAAAAATGTTTTGGACATTTTTACTATGAAATACTTGTAAGAACTATTTAATTACAGAATAAAGACTTAGGAAAAATAAGTTAAATTGACTATTTTGGGACAAATTCAAAGAAAACGGTCCATTGAATATTCACGTCAACTAATGACATGAGAAAATCAGAAACGGAAATAAAATGTGACTTTAAAACCTCACCACGACGACCACATCTGTATACAATACTGGTATACGAGCCGAGTAATAAAACAAAAATCTAATTGAATAGTACTTTGAATTAATGCGAATAAAACAGATTGTTATAATGGCTAATATTTTTTTTTCTTGGACAGTTGGCTATGAGTTTCGTGCCTTTGACAAACCACTATAATGTTTTTATAGTTGACATTGACAGTTCGGTTGACAGCTGACAGCTCCATTGCGGTTTCATAACATCGCCAAATTTTTTTATTTTAAAATAAAATTAAATAAAACTACTTTTCAATTTGAACCATGCATAAATGTTTAATGTGCCACAGAAATTCTATTTCGTAAAATTAAGACATGCTTACACATAACCTGTAAATACCAAAACAAAACAAATAAAAAATCCGCTATGGCTGTTCGATTTGATGCAGCCGCTTATAATTTTCGAAAGAAATGCCCTTACGTGAGAAAAGACTTGCTTCGGTGGTTTCCAGGTCATATGAATAAGGGCTTAAAGCAAATGCAACGAAAACTTTCCTCAGTTGACTGTGTTATTGAAGTTCACGATGCTAGGATACCGTTTACCGGTCGTAATCCCGTGTTCACGGAAACTATGATAGGAACAAAACCTCACATTCTTGTATTAAACAAGAGAGATCTGACAATAACTACTTTACTGCCTAAAATTGCTGACCAATTAAAGTCTGAACAAAATATGCAGAATGTAGTGTTTACAAACAGCAAAGACCAGCATTGTCGTGGTCTTAAGACTCTAAAACCTCTTATGGTTGATTTAATTAAGAATTCTAATAGATATAACCGAAGTGAAGAGTTAGATTACAATGTTATGATAATAGGTGTGCCTAATGTTGGTAAATCATCATTAATAAATATGTTGCGGTCAAAAAACATGAGGATCCGACACGTGCTGCCGGTGGGGGCTGTGGCGGGAGTCACGCGCAGCCTCATGACTAAAATGAGAATAAATGATGACCCAAAGATATTTATGTTTGACACACCAGGTTTGTATTTTGTTATCTCTACTTATGATTTATTCCTCATTTATAGGTTGCCAGTAGTCTACGAAAACTGCGCTTAAAACTTGTAACAATATAAAAAATAACTGGAACCAGTGAGCTCATACAGTCCTTGCCTAAATTATTCTCTAGTTGTATTGACTAATTTTAAACCAGAATACAAAACATTTTCTAAACATTTTTTTTCTGACTACCTTGAATAATATTCATAAAACATATCCCATTTTGAAGCATAAACTTTTTTAGATAAATTGATTAACATTTTTTAATTATGTTTGTCCTTACAGGCATATTGGAGCCATCAGTGACTGATATCGAGATGGGCTTGAAGCTAGCGCTTTGTGCATCACTCCAGGACCACCTGGTAGGCGAGGAGACCATCGCAGACTACTTGCTGTACTGGTTGAACAGTCATTCCAAGTTTAAATATGTAGACTACATGGGACTGGAGGAACCTAGTGATGAAATACAAAAGGTTGGTTATCAATAATTTCTCATATTTTGATAATACTGTACTATATTGAAATAATTTTTTTTACACTTTTTTAAAATTGTTAATGTCTCAAATTCTGCCATGTAACAATGTGTTTTTCAATTTTCAAATGAATATATCCAACATTATATGGTAAAGAAAACATTGTGAACAATCTAAACATATAGTGAAAAAAATTCAAAGAAATATGTGTAGCCAACCCACAATGAACCAGCATAGACTATGGCCTAGTAACCGCTAACTTAGTGTAGGCTGAGAGCCCCTCAGTGGGTTCTTATCATGAGCTAGATGACTTAAAAAATCAACAATTTTTTTTCTTTGTTATTTCAATTAGAACTTACTTACCCATTTTACCACAGATTATAATAATTACAGGTGTTAATATCAGGTGCAATAAAATACAATCGTATCAGAAGAGTGAGAGATTTTGACGGCACAATAAGAGATGTGCCTGACTTGCTGGAATCAGCCAGAGCTATGATAAAAGCCTTCAGGATGGGGGAACTGGGGAGGATATTCCTTGACATAGATGTATTGAAATTCAAACATAAACATGAAGTACAAGAAGAGGATTCCGGCTAGTTGATGAACACTTAAAGTGAAAGTTGAATTTTTTTTTAATGTACAGTCAGCTACTAAATATGTATACATTTTAAAAGCTGATTGTACATGCAAAACTAATTTATAGAACAACCAGATGTGATGGACTGATGGGGTATTTTATTGTGTTTAAATATATCAAAGCTGGAACCAGTCAACAGTTTATTCTTATAAATCACTTGTTTATTACAGTGATTGAATGATTTGAAGCTGGTTTTTTAATGTCAATGGTTTAGAAAGATTTCCTACACTTGTTATGTATGTTTTGTAAATAATGTACAGTATTAGATTGTAATTGTGCTTTAAGATAGAAATTTCCTGAATTAAAATATTAAATGGAAATCGAAACTTATTGTTTTATTAAACAACTTCTTGATTCTACCAAAGGGTGTTTGGTGCGAAGTCAGTAGATTTTACACGAGCGAATTATTGTCTAATTAATTGATTACGGTCTCTTACGAAACATAACAATCGTTTCGACGTTAATTTGAATTGCATCAAGTGATTTCCGTAATTTATTCAAGTTGGTTACAAATAATTAACAAATGAGGTTTAAATGTAAGCATTTGTAAATTATGAAACCTGCTTGGTCATTCTTGAATACCAAGTTAAAAAGAAATAAAACGCAAATGAAGTACGTCACAATGACATGCGATTAAAAAATCACAACCAAAAAAAAAATCGTAAATGGACACAATATAAATCTGAAACAATAAAATTGAAACATGCATCCTTAGAAAAGCTGTAACGGAACGGAACGATCGCAGCAAACTAGTTGGCGGTGTTTATGATGAATCCACTAGATTATCTGTTCACTTTCGTCGACGCGATACAAAACCTGCGATGGCTGATTGAGGCGGCCGTCGACGCCTACCCCGTCGCCAAGCTATCGAGGATCCACACCACGTGATGCCCGCACACCCCTACACCCCATGGACGACACGGCCGCGGACGAAGACCCCACACGCACGGACCCCGAGCCAGAGAGCTCCACCGACTGCCTCACATCCGAGTACGTGACTGACAAGCTGAGCCTGCCCAGCTCCTCCTGCAGCTCGGACACATGGCTGACGAGCAGCTGGTGCGAGCGGCCTAGCGCCAGCGAGTGCAGCAAGGACGCCTCCATTTCCTACGAGCCGCATTCCACTCCCTACAACTTGTCCTCCCCCGCTAGAAGCTGCGTTGTCAACATGATAACCTTGTACGACTCCTCCATCCCAGCCTTCGCTAGCAAAACGTACTCGCCCAGGAATAGAAGGCGTTTTGATTGTAATTCATCGTGTACTGTAGGTTCGTGTACTTGTGCGAGTCTGGCCTCGGACGTGTTCAGTAAAGTCGGTAAGCGGTCGTCGTGGTCGCCCTCCTCCCGCGACAGCAGCTCGGACGCGTACCCCAGCTCTGGGGAGAGCTCCCTCTACAGCGCAAGCACCACGGTGAGCCCGGACGTGAGCCACAAGATGCCGTGTATGCTCAGTCGCAGCTCGACGGTACCGTCGAGCGGACGTGCGAGCGCGACGCGAAGGCCGAAGCGCGCCGCCACCTGCGTCCCGCACTGGATGTTCGTCAAGAGAAAGATAATGCGGATGCTGAACGTTCCGAAATTTATTAATTTTAACATACGTAAAAATAATTTTCAACAGGAAGTTTGTTAAGGACAAAATAAAACATTTTCATTGTACTAGTAACTTTTATTGCGTTATTCCTCGTGTAAAAATATATTTCCAGACATTTTTCCTATCATTACAAGTGTTTCGTTAGATTTGGCCGCATAGGGGACTTTGAGATACAAAATGATAAGAATTGTAGATAAATGGACGTCTTAAGCGTATCTTTGTTTTTCTTAAGTTTATCTACAAGTACATTGATAACAAAAGAAAGGTAAAATATATAAAAAAAAACAATCCATCATAGCCTTGAACGTGTATTGACTTGAACTAGTTTTTTGAAAGTTCCGATTAAATTATTTTCTATATTGCATATTTCATGAGCGTTCAAAACGCATTATTTGTTAAATACAACCTTTGGTTCTAGTTTTTTAATTAATACAACCTTACACATTTGCCCACTGTCAGTTTTATACTTTCTTTCATAATAAAAATAATATAAACTATTTGAGCGTACAACCGTAATTAAAAATACTGAAAACTAAACTATACACTTATATTAAATCACAACGGTTCACAATTAAAGAGTATTTGAAACTGTATTTAAACATTTAAACTTTAGTGTCATGTTCAATTCAATCCCTATAAACGGCCAAAATATTTCACTGGCGGTGAAACAATTCCACATATTTTAACATATAATAAAGTAGATTATATAAAATTTAAACGCAACAAATGCACGAAATAAAGAAATAGAATTTAGTTTCCCGTAAATTTCCAGTAAAACACGTTTTTATAATAATATTCAAACAGAAAATCGCGGTTAAAATTCATAACCTAACAACTGACATTTCCCGCCAAAAAATGTCATATTTTTAAACTTTTTTTTCTCTATAGTTTACTGGCAGTTGCTTCGCACAGCCAATCATATAACAATACCTACTACTGTTTAGGAGCATCGCAGAGGCTAACAATATTTCCGTAATACTTTGGTTCAGTGAGTGCGTTCACCAATAATTCACCGAGGTTCCATTTGGACACGGCCCTGCCCGGTGACTTTTCAGGATTCAATTGAATTATGACCTCGCAACTCGGTTCCTCTGAAAATAATAAAGTTTAAAAAAATAACAATAAACAGTCAAACACGTGGCTGTATACCTCAGCATTTTTGATCAAAGTTAAAAAAAAAATACCTGCGACCTATATTTACCGAAAAAAATTCGTTACGTAAATCGACTATTATCAAATAAAATTGTTTACAGGGCAATTTATTCCCTATTAACCTTTCCGTCACGAAGACATTCAAACGATATTTTACTAAGAAAAGCGAATACCAATACCAATACCAGGAATTCAATTACGTTTTTTTAGCATAATTCCAAGAACCGCTGTTATGGAATTCTTTCGTGATGAACATTACATTTTCGCGCCATATTTGGCTTCTGTTGAATGAAACTCGAAACTCTGTTCCAGTATTATTAAAACATTCCGTTACAAGATATTTCAATAACTCATAATATTATGACAAGACGAATAAATCTATAAACGTACTGGGACGAACCGGTTTTGATACTTTAAAATTAATGATACGTTTATCTAAAGGTTTTTTTTAACCCGTCGTAAAAAGTCCAGTCTTTAATCAACCAAGAACAATAAAATAAAATTAATTTGAATTAAATTGCAGACGTCATTACTAGTTATTTAGATTTATTGTAATAAGTACTATGTTTAATGGTGCAAGGTCCAAGGATGTTATAAGCTAACTCCGGCACGAGAAGTCCAAGCTAAATGAATGTTTAAATAACCATTTAAAGTATAACTACGGGATATAGTCTATTTCAATGAAGCTATGATAACTCACCCGATATATGTGGGGGGAAAACGGCGACCCAGTTCATGGATGTTTCCTTCAAGGCTTCATACATCCTTCTATGGTCATTGGTTAAATGCTGAAACTTTGGTGGTACTTTATCCGGCTCGTAAAATAGGAAAGCCGAAAGACAAGTACTAATAGTCTTCACATTCTTAGCTCTCATCGCTTCTAGAATGTTCCTCAGACCTTCGGAAAGGTCTGAAGTAGGATCAAGACAGCTGCGAGTGCCTAAGACGACTACAACTCCATCCATGCCCTCTACCGCGTTCGCGACTGAATCTGGTTCGAGGACATCGCCTTTAAAAATCTCTACTTTGTCTTTGAGGTTGTCCGTCAATTTTTTGGGGTCGCGAAGAAATGCTCGCACTTGTAAACCTGGTGACAAGATAAAAGAAAAATGGAAAAGGCATAAGGATCACTAGGAAGTTCGAATATGTAAAAGTACCATTTTTTTTTATTAGACCTAAACGCTAATCAGAATTATTATGAACTGTATAAATAAATCGATAAACGGATAAGGCAAACGAGGTGGGATAGACAGCTCGGTAAAGTACCCTCTGCCCTGCCCTCTGGGTCACGACCGGTATATTGTTAATAGAAATATAGGATGAATGTTCTCAGCTCCGCTCACAAGTCAATCATGGCCGACAAGTACGCATTCCAAAGGCGCGAGTGCATTCCTTCCGCTACAAATGTCGACCTAATCCGTACCGTCCGGCTATTCGAACACTTGGCCGGTTAATCCGTAATATCTACAGATTTCACTGATATGTTATATCTGTACGTGTGTCGACATTATGTTTACGATAATGGAAAATTGAAACGACGAAACATCAAAACTGTTTAATGCATTTTAAACTATTCCGTCACATCCAGTTACTTTTTTGATCTTTGTATAACGTGATGCAAAAACTGGTTACATGTATGAAGATAAAAGATTAATTAATATTATAAAGAGGAAAACTTTGTTTAATTGTAATGAAATAACTACTGGGCCGATTTCAAAAAGTTTTTAACCATAAAAAGGTACGTTGTCAGTGAGTACCATAGGCTATGTTTTATATAATTTCACGCGGACGGAGTCGCGGGCGAAAGCTAATAACTAATAAATCTATTAAATTTTTCACAGCTATTTTTTAGTCTAAAACGTTTAAGTAGCCTTGAGTTATTAATTGATGGTCAAAAAACGCCAACAAAAATAGGTTCTTTGTTGACAATTAAAATAGGCTACGTCATTTCCGTACCGAAGCTGAAGCATCTACTCAATATTTCCACTTGTGATTAAATTTTCCATTATAGATAGTGGTAGTATTTTTTGGCTGTGAATTCGTTCGTACTGAATAGAAAAAAACCACCTACTTCTTACTAATATAAATGAGAAAGTTTGGATGAATGTTTGGTAGAGTTTGGTACCCAAAACCGATAAACGGATCTTGATAAAATTCTGCATACATGTAGAACATAGAATGGAAGAATAATTTTCCCTGCCTTGTCCTACTCCCGTAGGATCGGCGCACCGGGTTTTCGACCTCCAAATAACTCTATCATCCGTCATCTCAGTCATCACTCCCTTCTTGATTATATCTCCTTTCACATGATCCATCCATCTCTTTCTAGGTCTACCTTTACCGGCGTATCTTTCCACATTCATAAATAACATCCTTCTTGTTACATGTAATTCATCCCGTCTCATAACATACCCACGCTAGCCTTTTGCTCCCTATTTTCTCAACCACTGCGACTACTCTCGAACTTACTGGACTGGATTGGAAGAATAGGCTAGCAATTAAGTTTTTTGTAAACCCGCACGGAGCCGCGAGAGAAAGCTAGTAATGATTATAATCTGTTACTCAGTAATAATATAACTTTCTTATGGAGATTACTTTAACCGTCCAGTTGTTACTGTCCTATGAAATATCCCAGTAATGATACAGTCAAACCAGTTTTATAACTACACTGTTACTATGCATAAAACATTGTAATAAAAGTTAATAAACAAGAAACAAACAGGAAAACAAGATCAAGTTTTTCTTTACAATGTATTTTTATTTACCATTTGATTATGATATTTAAGATGAGTATGTCAAGAGTTATTTATGCTTACTGTGTTTCTGATAGTTACTAGGTTTTATCATTTTATATACAAAGTATGCAATCACAATTATTTATTATATGAAGAGCCAAATGGACAAGGCCTAATCCATAAACCAGTATTAGGTGACCCTTACCCAGACGGCAACAAGGTGACACAAATGAATGACTTGCCTATTGTAAATGGGGAAGAGAAACTAAAAAGCATACAACCCTTTCTTATTAGGAGGTAGATTAAAAGATAAAAAGGCTGCACAAATAATTTAAATGAAATTGGTATTATCCATTACAGACAGACTTTTTTGTATTTTTATTGTAATATTGATTACAGGAATTGATTGTACTTAGATTATGAAGCTTCTTGAGATAAGATATCCGAGATATATCTTTAATAATAAAGGGAAGTATATTTACAAATATGAAATCATCACAATCATTTACAATTTTTTATAACCAACAATCATGTTAACTGAATTTTCTTTATTTTTTAACGTAACAAATTGGGCACATAACTTTCACGTAAAAGAATTTAATTAAAAAATTATTCATTTTGTATACTTTAAAACGAAAAAATCATAACTGTGAAATAAAAACATTAGTTGTTTTTATATTTAATGTTTTATGTAAGGTAGTTATGTAAAATATTTCAAAACTTACCTTTTTTCACTGCTGCTTCAACAGCGCAAAGGCCGGTCATGCCGGTAGATCCAAAAATTACAATTTTCTTCATTTCTGTGAAAGTATAATATGTTTCTGTATCACATTTATTTAAGTCGTTCTTGCACAAACCGTACGTAATAATGTAGAAAAGGAAATCGGAAAACTCTCGTAATATAAATTAAGTCGGTCTTACCGATTACGTCCTTCAATGAATCAGAACCAGAAGAACTAAAAGAAAACTGTCGTTGTTTTTAATTTAAACAAACTCCAAAACCTGTATAGGACAAATCAATATGTTATCACTTCAACGCTTAAATTATGTTACGCTTATTGCTGCCTTTGTAATATAGAATAACGTAAGTTATAAATCCAAAACTCGAATTGAAAAGCAAGAACGAGAATACTAGACGTGAGCGTTATTTCACGTCACTAGTTACAATCACCTGTGACGAGATATGTAACGGCGTCACTAGTTTCGAGTCAAATTGAAA